CCCCGCCGCAACATTTGTCATGTCAACACCTCATATACTGACCATTTATCCTCACTTAAAGTGTCGCATGATGCCCTATTGGGCCATATACTGAGTGTTTATTCGAAGTCGAAATAGTTCACTTTTTTTTTTTAAGTTCATTTTTTATGAAATGTGTATTCACTCCAACGTATTTCGTTACTTTTATAATTTGAGTTTTCATGCGTGAGAGCGAGTTTCACTCACTTTCTTTCTATCTTTTGTTCATCTCTTTCACTTAGATGTAAATCACACTTTTAGCTCTTTCTCATTCTAGTGTTGTTGTCATTACTTGCTCATGCTTTGTCCATTTTTCTAATACTTTGTGAATCATCACTTTGTGCTTCGTTTGTTCAAGCTTGGGAGTGAGTGAAACTCACTCCCTCTTTATGAGACAATATTTTGTGAATTGCCACTTTGTGCTTTGTGTGTTCAAGCTTGGGTGTCCCCTCTATGATTTGTCTTTTTTTTTTTTTTTTTTTTTTTTTTTTTTTAGACAAATACACAAAATACCCCATTTATTCTGGGGGGCATTAGTTCGGTTGATTTGTACCGGCAAGCATGAAGTATTTACAATAGTGATAGAAAAATCAACAGAGCGGTATATCCATTGCGGTACTAGACACTTTTCTTAAGGGCGGGGCTACTAGGCAGTCCCCCACCTTATTGCAATCAGACTCGACTTATTCACACTTTTCATGCACGTGAACAGCAGCAGACAAACTGGCGACATGCGCCCACACAGTACGTAGAGATATGGCTTCCAAGTAAGTTCACTTTCACTGGCTATGGCGACTGAGCACCCAACATCCACTGTTCACGCCCTAGATCACCCTGGATATCCCACACTCGACACTTTGCACCCTCACATCATGCACACACACGCACTACTACAGCTATGGCAGCGCTAGCTTCCACTACCCTATCGTTGTTCTACACTTCTCTGCCCACTTCGACTTCGGGCACACTGCAGACCTCCTTGCACATTCCGCATGGCTTCCGCAGGAATGAATGAATGGCTGGCCGCGGCCTGCTGATTTATACTTCTGGGATGCGTTGGTCTGCCCTGTAACCCTGGCCCCCTCGTGCACACAGTCCCAGACGGTACTAGCTGGACAGGACCGGACTGACTGGACTAGGACTGTTGACTCAGCGTGGTGGACCTACACCACTTGACCACTTGCTTCTACCGAAACAGGGGCTGACTCCGAAAGGCCACTCCTAGAAACCTCTACTTTGGCCTTTCGGGACTGTAGCAGCTACGACTTTGCCCTTTCAGGTAAGTAGCAGCTACGACTTTGACCCCTCGGACAATCTACAGCTACAGCCTCTGGACTGTCTAGACTCCTACTGGACAGGTCTACGGTTTGAATTCCCTATACCCTGTAACCTACGAAATCCTACCTACCACTCGCGGTCCTACAGGTCGCAGGTTCAAATCTACGGGTTGACACAGTTACTGTACACAGGTAAGGTGGGGAACTAGGGATCAAGCCCTGGGATCTGCATCAGCTACTGCGAGGTGGTGAATACCGTTTCACTGCCGCCGGCCTAAATTCGAGGTCCTCCGAGAAAATTTCAGTCCAAGGCAGGGCCTTTACCTTTCTGTTGCCTCTCGTAGGCCCGGACTATATCGGGAGCTGTCTCTTGAAGTTCAGATCTTGCAAACCAGCGGTCGTCTTCCGGTTCCTGATAGCTAAAGTGAACCTTGTACTGTTTCTGTGGGCGACCTCTACCTCCGGTCTTGAATACATCTTCAGCTACTATGCCATTGATGTCATACCTTCCATCCATATCTGGTGGAATCATAGACCTACGGGATGGAAACTGATCACTTGTTTGACAAGGTAACAACTTCGACGCATGGAAAACTGGGTAAGTGTGGAGGTGTGCTGGGAGTTCTATGGTATAGGACGTTCCATCTTCGCCGCCTTGGACTTCCAGAACTGGCCACGGTCCTTTATATGTAGGCAGTAACTTCTGCGAAATGTTCTCTTCGGGCGCAAACTCTTTAGACTGGATCTAGACCAAGTCGCCTACTTGAAACTGTGATGGGCGACGGTGCTTGTTCGTCTGTTCGATCATGCGGTGTTGGGCCTTCCTACAGTTGCTATCTCCCTTTTGTGTTGAATCGCAAACTCCCTGGTACTGGGCGGTAGCCTGTGAATCTGATCCCGGTTAAGTCCCTCAAATGGTCTCCGTGGTCTAAAGGATTTATGGAGCTCGTTGGGAGTGCGGCAGGTTGACAGGTGCAGGTTGTTGTTGTATGCGCTGGCTACCTTAGGAAGCATCTCATCCCAATTGACTTGATCAGGTCTAATGTACATGCGCAGGACTTGCTGCAGGATCTTGTTCATCTGTTCAGTCTGACCATTCGTCTCTGGGTGACGGCCAGATGACATCAACAACTTGGATCCGTAGACTCGCATCAACTCCTGCCAGTTTAAACTCATGAACCGGGTATCTCTATCGCTAACTATAGACTGCGGAACCCCGTGTTCACTGACCCAGTGATCAAGGAACTTCTGAATTACTAATTCTGTTCTGACTTCTGATGGCAAGGGAACAAAAATAGCATACTTACTAAATCTGTCTACCACGACCATAACTTGGCTCTTGCCATGCCTACTCTTAACGCCGGTGTCCATGAAGTCGATGGACACTGAATCTCCCGGCTGATCAGGGATAGGTAAAGGTATGAGAAGACCTAAAGGGGCACACGTAGTTGACTTATTCCTCTGGCAGACTTTGCAGCTGCGAACATATTGTTGCATTCATTTTTCATTCCTGGCCAGGTGTACGCGTGCATCAAGTTGGCTAAAGTCTTCTGCCAACCGAAGTGTCCTTCGGTATCGTGACATTCCCCTAAGATCAGACTCCGTATCTCTTCACTGTTGGGGACGCACAAACGGTCTACTACGTTAGTCTTCTCAAACAACAACCCGTCAGTAGTGCGGTAATATGGTTCGGACTCTCGGGCTTCCTTGACTCTCTTAAGGAGCTCACTATGGATGGGGTCGTGCACGTACGCCTCTTTAACTTTTTGTTGTAGATCTGACCCTATATCTAGATAATGGACTATGGCCCCAAAGTAATCAGCTCTTCTACTCAGAGCGTCCGCAACTACGTTATACTTCCCTTTGACTGGCTTGAGCTCGAAGTCGTACTGGTCTATCTCTGCGGCCCACCTAGTAAGTTTAGGTGTCATCTTGGCGTGCATCTTTAACCATCGCAATGTCTCGTGGTCAGAATAGACCTTGAAGTGTCTCCCAAGCAAGTAGTGTTTCCAATGTTATAACGCTTGCCTAAGAGCGTAGAGCTCCCTCTCATAAGTAGATGTCGCAACCTTCTCTAAAGGCATTCTAGCAGACATGAACTCTACGGGCCTATAACCGTTGCCATCGTCTTGCTGCAACACCGCAACTATGTCGTACTGGCTAGCATCCGTAGTGACGACAAAGGGCAAGGACGGATCGGCTACCTTAAGGACTGGATATTCTATTAGTGCCTGCTTCAGCTTCTTCATAGCAGATGTGCAGTCCTTATCCCACTTCCAGATGGTTTCCTTCCTCAGCAATCTGCGAAGGGGCGCAACGATAGTGGAGAAGTTCCTCACGAACTTCCTATAGTAGTTAGCTAAGCCCAAAAACGATCGCAACTCTGTCAGCGTACGTGGCGTGGGCCAATCTCTAATCGCTGCGATTTTATAATCTTCTGGCTTAACGCCGCCTCCATCTAAGACGTGGCCTAGATATAAGACTTGGGTCTTCGCCCAATCGCACTTCTTTGCGTTGATCTTGAAGTTAGCTTCTCTCAGCTTCTCCAAGACCTGCCTGAGATGACCCTGATGTTCATGGAGGGTCTTGCTAAACACTAAGATATCGTCTAAGTAGACAACAACAAATCTATCTAACCATGACTTAAACAAATCGTTCATATCGCGCTGGAACGTCGTTGGCGCATTGGTTAGTCCAAAGGGCATCACTGTGAACTCATAGTGCCCATATCTGGTCCGGAAGGCTGTCTTATAATGATCATCAGGATGCACCTCTATCTGATGATATCCAAACTTCAAATCTATCTTGGAGAAGTACTTTGCCCCTTGCACTCGATCTAAAAGATCGTCTATCCTAGGCAGTGGCTCAACATTCTTCACTGTAACAACATTCAGACCCCTATAGTCTATACACATCCTCAACTCTCCGAGGAAGAAATGAATGATTCGCATGATGTTCCGACTCCTGATCTGAATGCACTCTCATCCGCATCCATGGCAACAACGTATGTGGCGGTTGAGAACACCGTAAGGATTCTTAGGAATGCTAGCACTGTTGAACCGTTCGACATTGGTGTTCGAGATCCGTGTAAGCATTGTGGTGCTAAATTGTGTTATCATGAAAGAAAATGGACAAAGATGTGTTGCCGAAAAGTTACAAAACGTTGTCCTTTATGGGAATGATCTTGCGAAGGCTCCCGAAGCATGAAATTCTTTCCCTTTGGACGTCTCAAACTTCCGACGGTCGATTCCTTCGAAACAATGCGAGGATAATTAATAATATCCCTCACATTCTCGCGGTTAAAGCAACCGAGCGATGATTTTCGAGGATTCCAGGGCCAACTTAGGGCTCAAGGTCTAAAATTTCATGGTTTTTATGCATTGGCTGTGGGGAAAGGGGAACATCGTCAGTTTGCTTAACTATATTTGCATTATGCTCAACGTTTGGACGCTGTGATTGATCAAAAGGTAAATTTCCTTAACTTACTTACACGTACATCCGATGCCGAACTTGATCGAACAAAACGCATATTGAGAAGGTTTCACAAATTGCTACAACAATGTAACAATTACGTGAAGGACTTTATGACGGCTCCTGACTTTCCACCGGAAGCGTTGAACGGAAGCAAGTTGGTGATAAATCTGGATGTCATGCCTGATGAGGAACATGCAAGGCGTTATAACCGTCTTATGGATTTACATGAGGTGTGTGTTCGGATGGCCGATGAACTTCTTCCTCGTGAGCTCAAGATTCGTTTGCGTGCTCCTCTTCCGGGGGAGCGGAAGACCGTTATGGTTTCGGAATGTTCTCGAGCGCACGACTGGTTAAATTTTGTTTTACTTTTATCGGAAGAAATTGATAGTTGGTATGTCCGACGTGCCTCGGAAGCTGGATGACCGCCAGAACTTAGTGCCACTTAGTACTATGCATTTCACCTTCACGAGCGCGATGGTGAAAGGCCTTGCCTCCTTTCTGCAGCACGTCTCTTCCACGAGTTTTGTTACGTGGCGTAGGCTAAAGTTAAATCCATCCGCTTAAAATGAGTGAGATTCCACAAAAAAAAATTACGCTCGGAGTATTATCACAATTTATAAGGATTTACAAGACGTTGTGCAACAAAATCAACGTGGTGAGGGTGTTGGGACAAAAGTGGTTTTATCGTCAACGTTCACTAGGGGGCCCCAATATATGAGTGAAAGATATCATGACAGCATGACAATTGTGAGGTGATTCAAAAAACCGGATCTTTTCATCACTATGACGTGCAACACTAACTAGTCGGAGATCAAACAAGCCCTGTTGCCAAGTCAATGTCCTAACGACAGACTGAATCTTTTTGCGCGAGTGTTCAAAGGTTATCTTGCACAACTGATTGATGATATAAAGAACAAACGGATCTTTGGTAGGTAAGTGGAATGTTGTATGTGGTGGAGTTTCAAAAAAGGGGTTTACCACATGCACATATATTGGTTATCCTGCATCAGGATGATAAAATTCGGGATGCGAATGTTGTTGACAATGTGGTGTGTGTCGAGATTCCTCCGGAAGGGGAATTGAGAGAAAGGATAGCCAAGTTCATGTTGCACAGGATTTGCGGTGCGGAGAAACGCGATGCTTCGTGTACAGAGGACGGAGAATGCACAAAAAAATTCTGAAAAATTTCATTTCAACAACAACATTCAAAGATAAATAAACGTACCCTTCGTATAGGAGAAGGAAACCAAGTGCCGGTGGTTTTACGATTGTTCAAAATGGTGTCGTATACGGCAATCAACGTGTGGTCCCGTATAACCCGTACTTGCTAATGAGGTTTAATTGTCACTTGAACGTTGAATATTGTGTTAACATCAAGGCGTGCAAGTACGTGTATAAGTACGTGTATAAGTATGTGTATACGTACGTGTATATATTACGTGTACAAAGGGTGCGATCGTGCTATGGTTTGCGAGCAAGATAATAATGCGTCCATGGACGAGATCAAATTGTATCAAGATATGCGTGTTGTAGGTGCATGCAAAGCATGCTGGCGTCTATTTGAGTTTGACGTTGCAGAACAATGACCCGCGGTCGAAGGATTGTTTGTGCATCTCGAAAACATGCAAAAAGTACAATTCGATTCTGTGACTGAGCATGACGTTGTTTCAAATGGGCCCCCGAAAACGAAATTGACGGCATGGATGAAACACAACTCTTTGAACGAACGTGTTTCTAAAGAGGAGCTTCCTCTTTACGCAGAAATCGTTTATACTCATGTGTGGGATAATAAACATAAGAAGTGGAACCGAAGAAAGTGTGACCTTCATGGTGGTCCCTTTAAAAAGATATCTCGGTTGCATCACGTGAGGATCACGGAAGGGGAACGATTCTATCGGCGTGTGTTGCGAAACTATGAACATTCTCGTGGGGTGCGCTCTTTTGCCGAAATTTGTACGGTGGACGGAGTCGAATACGATTCGTTCCGATTTGTGTGTCTTTGATTGGACCTTTTGCAAACATACGATGCATACGATCAATGCATAGACACAGCCACTACACATTACATGCCTAGACAAATTCGTAAAACATTTGTTATGGTTCTTGCGTTTGGTTCGGTGAATGATCCCATCTGTTTCTTCGAACGACATTGGAATAAGATGTGTGATGATTTTCAGTATCGCGCAGACAATGAAATTGTTCTGCCGAACATTTTACAATCTTTATTGTTGTTCCATATTGACAGTATTTAGCAAGAGTCTGGAAAAAACATCCGTCAGTTCTGCCTTTAATATCCAACACCCGATGGAGAAACGATTGCTGAGAACATAACCAGACATTATGAGAACAGAACCGTATCCTCAATTCTAAGCGACGAGCTGTCGTATGATCCGATTCAAATGCAACGTAAATATGACTTCAATTTCCGACGCCTTCGTCCACGTCAACGAGTGTTGGTGGAAAAAGTCGTTCTGGCTATGGAAGAGAAAAAACCGTAGTGTGCTTTTGTCGATGCACCAGCTGAAACATGAAAGACTTTTAGCATTGAAACGATTTTGGCGGGCATCAAGTCGCGTTCTGCCATTGCACTGGCCGTCACATCCAATGGCATAACGACGACTCTTTTGACGGGGGATCGAACGTTTCACTCACGATTTCACACACCTTTAAAACCTGATAACACCCGTCCCTTCTTGCGGAGCTTATCCGCCGTGCCGACTTGATTATTTGGGACGAGGTTTCGATGAGTAGCAAGTTTCACTTGGAAGCTTTTGACATCACGCTTCGGGACCTTTGTAACAATGACGAGCCGTTTCGTGGGAAAGTTCTACTTCTAGTTGGGAATTTTATATAAGTTTTGCCCGTTGTGAAACACGGATCGTGAGCGCAACAAATTGATGCGACCATGAAAATGTCTCCTTTGTGGAAACTTTTTGAGGTTCAATAACTAACCGAAAATATGCGAATCTTAAGCTTAGGGAATGATGAAAAAACATGAATGTATGCCCACTTTTTGATGCGCATTGGGAATGGTGACCATCCTCGTGTTGTTCCTAATGAACCTGCTGCGGTTAGATTGCCACGTGAGATTTGTACGGATAAACCAATTGATGAGTTGATTTCATGGGCGTTTGATGATATGTCGAACTATATGGGGGATGCCGAGAAGTTCTTGCCTCGATTAATTATATGCCCGACTAATGACGATACCGGTTATGTCAACAACTGTATTCTTGACGACTTCCCTGGGGAGGTGTGTGACCTTTTCGGCGTTGATTATCCTAATTCGGATGATACCAGGCTTGGTATTGAGTGAGAAGTTCTTAAACTCTCTCAACGAATCTGACCTTCCACCTCACAAGATGCGCTTAAAAATTGGTGCGTGTGTGATGCTTTTGCGAAATTTGTCACCGAAGCAAGGACTTTGCAATGGTACAAGGATGATTCTGAAGAAGATCGTTAATGATGATTTGTTGGAAGTGACAATAATGCACACGGGTAAAACAACATTGATCCCCAAGATTGATCTGACAAGCGATGGTGAGACAACTGGGTTCAAATGGTTCAGGAGGCAATTTCCAGTTCGTCTTGCTTTTGTTGTAACGATTAACAAGTCGCAAGGACAATCCGTATTGCGTGTCGGGGTTTGACTACACAAACCGGTTTTTGCGCATGACGAACTGTACGTTGGTTTGTCGCGTGTTGGCCATCCCAACAACATCCGTGTTGTGTTGCCTGATAATTTTTTTTTAACGAAGAATATTGTATATCATGAACTTTTGGGATGAATCCTTCTTTTTTTTTTTCATCGAGCCTTGGCATTCCAAATAATATTGTCATATTCTTTCTTTGCAGGCGACTCCCCGCATAAGCACAACACTCGTGCTAAGAGGAAAGCAATGAGAAACAATAATACCACTCAATATCATACGAATGTTACGTCAAAAGTTGGAGCCGAACATTCAGAGAGGTCAAAGAAAAGTGAAAATGATGGGAGGTCGGTGAATTTTGGAAGTGAACATCCTCGGGACGATCATCATGTTTTTGGTGAGGCTGAACGCCGATGTTCGCAAGGGAATACCCTTGATGATGCTGAGAACATGGTTGTGGAGGGGGGGGGGTGACGATTGTCGTGCCGATGACGATGGTTCACTTAGAGGTCAGTCAGCCTGGGTTTGGTAGGCCTATTAACCGTACATTTGTCGATGATGAGGATGATAACGTTACGGGCGATTCGAAAGAAGACTATGTTGAATCTACTTTCAAGAGGAAAAAAAATCGTGATGCGAAAACTAATCTTTTGGATTCCCTCCAAATTCTAAAGCCTACCTTGGCTGATAATTAGGTGGGACGACAACCTTTTGTTGATGAAACGGGAACTCTGATTGTAAGAGCGTTGAATGCGCCTCTTGATGATGCACTTTCATCTCTTCCGTTTTAAGCACCGCTCGCTGGACGTGCACGTGTTCATGATTCGTCTTCTCAATCTCAACGC